TTTTAAAAACAATCTCCCCTCTTTTTTTAGTTTAAATTTTTTAAAGGGGCCCCCCCCCCCCCCCCCCCCCCGCATTAAAATCTGCAAAGTCACTACACTGCCCAACCACAAACTTTGCTGCCTGCCAGAAATCAACAGTAGTTAGGGAACTCCTGCCCTGTCACCTCTGCTCATTATGCTGCTCATCACGGTCTCATGGTTACCTGGTGCTCTCCCATTTGTATGCTGTATTCTCCTTCTCTCTCCCATTTTATAGTGAGATTCTAAGCCTTTAAGGGCCTTTTTGCTCAATGTTTGAACAGAACCTAGCACAAAAGAGTCTTGATCCTTGATTGGGTCCTTAGGAATTCCCACAATGCAAATAACAAGTAATGAGAGTTTGCATAGACTGGGACAGACACTGGGCCAGATGGAGTTGATGCAGAGCACAAACTCTCAAATGATACCATGTACACCTGTCTTGATTTCTCCTTCCTGAAATGCCCCAGACACAAGTTTTCTATCATTTTTAGCTTTTCTATAACCCTCAGAGAGTAGTTTCCTATGCTCACCTTCAAATCCATTCACCCTCTTTTTTGATGTTTCCATAAACGGTATTTAACAAACTTACATCCAGAGACATTGGGGCTTCTCTTGTAGCACTATAACAATTCTGAAAGTCTTATATTCAGAACAAGAACCCAGAGAAACACACAGACAGCAGTACATAAGGTATGTTCAAGTCAACCATGCTCCATGTTCAGGGTACTGAACACACATGGCTGAGCCGCCAGCCACCCCAACTGGCCAGTGCAGCCCTTCTCCCCAGTCACCCCGCCAGTAGTGATGGAGGGAGGGAAGGGAATGGAGGTTCCCACTCCAGCTCTGAACCAGCACAATTGGGGGGAGGCCTATGCAGTGGACTTCCCCCCCAACATCCCAGCATTGCTGGTCAGCATGTCTCCTCCCCCCAACTGCCAGCAGCAGGGGAGGGGGAGGGGGAGGGGGCAGAGCAGAGGCCCCCACTGCATGTCTCCTCCCCCCAGCTGTGCTGGCTCAGGTTGGGGAGGGGGCATGGTGGGTCCACATGGTGGGTGCCTCTGCTCCCCTCCTCCGCCCTGCCACAAGCTGGCTGCTGGCAGGGGGGGAAGGGGCTAGAGAGAGTAGCTGTGCTGGCAAGCCAGGCCAGGCAGAGTTGGGGGATCCACCATGCAGACACCCCCCTCCAAGCTGTGCTGGCACAGGCTGGGGCCAGCCCCACCCTGCCATCGCTGTCAGCTGGCGCGGCCCCCAGCCCTGCCTCCTGTCTGCAGCAGGCTCTGTGAGAGTCTGCTAAGCTGGAACAGACAAAGGTGGCCGAGGCTAGCGCACCACCCTGTGGGGGGAAGTTAGCGGGGCCCACGAAGCAGCCTGGACTAGGCTGGGGACTGCAACCTAACTTGAGTTGGGAGAGAATCTGGTAGTGAAGTTCAATAGACAAGTCTAACCTAAATCACTTAAGTTTGATGCTACATCTATCTAGGTCTACCTTAGACCAGGTTCTGCCATTTTTAAATTGGTCTATGTGTCGAACTTCTATACTGTTATGGGTTTAGACTGGGTCTTGGTCACTTACACCTGTTTGTGTGTAATGTCTGTACCTGGCCACAGCGATCATATATTATGACAGGCATAACATAGGAAACTAGACAGGTTAAAGAGAAAATTTATCATGAAACAGCCTCAAACTTTGGAACTTCATTCCATTGGTCTATTAGACCGTGAATTCATTACATTCTCACGTTTTCCACCAGACCTTTTCTTGGACCGCGGATCATGTGGCTACCTACAGAGTTTGGATTGGGTTGCATCTTATATTTGCATGCTTTCTTATATGATTTTAAGTACATCAGACAGACATATTTGTAAAAGATTTTTCTTGGTACAGCCCACTATATAGCAGCGCTGATGTGATACACAATATCCAGAAGAGGGGTCTTGTTGAATGTTCTTATAGCACCTCCTACTGGCTCATTTTGGGACATTTCATAAGCATTTACATCAGATACCAGATTTACCTACGGCCACTAAGAGCAATGTAGATAACATGGTTGCAAGGATTGGGAATGGACTTCCAAGGGAGGTGGTGCTAGCCCCATTCTTGGGGCTCTTCAAGAGGAGACTGGACAGGCACCTGGCTGGGATCACATGACCCCAGGTTTGGTGACCCTTTTCTTGCCTGCCAGGGGCAGGGAGTGAGACTCGATGGCCCACTGAGGTCCCTTCCGACCCTAGAAGGTATGAACATCAAAGTTTCAACACAAATCGGGAAATAAAAACAGTGAACCTGACTCATGCTCATGTTTTGTCCTTAGCACTGGGGAATGACTAGTCTCCTCCCTTTGGGAACACTAGAGAAGACAGTCAAACCCTACTCTGTTTCTCTCATACATGTATATGCACTTTTGGTGTTGGTTAAGTAAAAAATACATTCAAGTGGCAGAATATTTCTGAGGCCAATATACTGTAGATATAGTCTGCTTCAGAGATCTTTGGGGGAAGCTATAGTGCTCTGAGGAGCATAGAAAACTCTAAAAACTATTCTGCCTACAAAAATGTTCGTTAAACAAAAGACATTCTTTTGTTTGTACCTGCTTATAAATCATTCTGATATGGTAACCTTTCCAACATATAGGAGATAAGTTCCTTACAGTAACAGTATCCTATGGCCTAGGTGCTAGCCAAGTCTCAGCCAAAAATAACAGATTTTGCAATATCCTTTTGAGGGATTCTAAAAGATGGGTTTCAAACCTATGGCCCATGGGCTAGATCCAACCTACAAAGCCCCCTAATCCAGCCCCTGGCGCTGCCCCTTTTGCTGTGCTTGACCATCCCTGCATACAGTGTCTGGGACGTATGCTACCTGCAGTGCTTGCTTGGGCTAGGTCCCATGGTGCCTGCGAAGTGGGGCATCCCAGACAGGCCTGTCTGGGTACGGCCTGAGCTGAATTAGGCATGTGGGCAGGGTGGGGAGGGAGGCTCCATGGGCCTGATCTGACCCGTGGACTGGCCCTGTGCCACTCATCCAATTCACAGGGCCAGATAAATTTGACACCCCTGGTCTAAAGGAATGAGATATTTTCCCCCAAACTTCCACCTTCTCTCTTAAGAGCCAAGTCACTATGTTCTATGATGTTCCTAACACTTCTTCACTCTATTTTTTAAGAATAGTATCAACAACTTCATTTCCATAACACTCCCCACATTCAAAGCACTTTAACAGTCTTTATCTAATTAACATTCACCACAGTCACACCCATGGTACAGATGAGGAAAGTACACAGAGGAAAAGGAATGCATGTCAAAAACAGAGCTAGAAATATAGATTCTTGACTTTGACCCCCATGATAAAATTAAAACCAGGATCGTATTTCTGCTTTATGTAGAAAGACAGTCAGACGAGACTAAGAAATGCTTTTTTTTTTATATCCAAAGGTAGCA